TCAACGCAAAGCTTTTGCAGCGACGAGGACTCGCAACATGCTTTTCAAACCCGACGAGAAAAGAAGCAATCTCACTAAGCGTGAAACGCTTAGTGAGATCGCTATATTACGACTATACTTCCTCTCACTTTATGTGCGAGAGAAAAGCAAAGTTAGAAGCGCGAGCCCAAGAGCTCCGAAGATTCGTGCTTTGCTTGAGTGCGCGAGCGGTGCAGAAGGGCAAAAGTGCTGGTCTCGCACTTTTGTAGCTTTGGCCACGGCCGGACTGGAAGCGCGCGCTCTCTTTCTCTTCTTACGGCCTTTTCAATTGGGGCAAATCGCCGCCTCCCGCCGCATTTCGCGGGGGGCTCTGTCACCTCACCCCTGGCCTACCCTTTGCCGTTTGCACAGAGCGCGTCTGACAGTGTACCTCAGCGCTGTCGCAACTTGCGGCCGAGATTGTATAGCCTTTGACACCTGATCCTTCCGTTTAGACCCTCAGCCCCTCTCTAATGCACTTCTGATGAGCCCAAAACTGATGAGCCCAATATTTGACGCACGTCTCTGAGAGATTTGGGAGTAAAAAGTAGTAAGTAGAGACAGCGATTGCAATTGCGGAAAAAACTGTACTCGTCTTTACCTCCAGGACTTCTGTTGCAACTCAAAAACAGGAGGAGACGGACCCCTTCTACGTGGAGGATCTTTAAATGATAAATAATTGGTACACTCTCGTGAAATGTAAGAAGCAGGCCCAATCTATCTATTGCCGCGGTCTACATCATCGTTTCATAGGCCGCACATGAAGTCGGTCAGCTGCTCTAGACGAGGGTGTAGTAGTCTATACAATTTTCGCACAGTGCATATTGCAGCCTAAAGTGCTTCCTCGGGGGCTTCTGCACATATCCAGCTGATTTTTCATCACAGGGGAACGCAGTTTGCTGACGACACAGCCTGTCGGTAGAGTGACTTAAATCGAAGCGAAGTTCAATAAACCGTTTCCATACAACAACCTACGAAGCTCGAACACCAGCGCAAAGCAGCTCGAAGGGACTCTCCGAGTGGGGTGAAGCAACACCACCTAGACAAAAGGCCTCCACACGCGTGATCATAGTAAGATCGATCGAGGCGAGAGATTGGGCACGAGTGCTGCGTCAGTGTTCGGCTGCGGCTCGTGGCCAATCAGCGCGTCGAAGGTCGTGCTCGGGTCCAATAGCCGACCGAGCGCGATCCGACTGTGATGACGTTTCATAGAAGAAGAGGAAACCATGCGGAGGCCTTCTGTCTAGGTGGTGTTGGGTGAAGTGGGGTGAGGTTGTTGCGCCCCTGGCAACAAGCAAGTGAACTACATACGGAGAAAAAAGGCCACTGACTCCCGGGCGATTGCAAAGGCCGTAAGAAGAGAAAGAGAGCGCGCGCCTCCAGTCCGGCCGTGCTTTGGCATCGCTCGCAGATAAAGTGAATGGAAGTAGAGCGTTTGCGTTATTTGCTCCAGAAAGAAACCTCGCGCGCAACTAACCTTTCACCGGCAAATGGACGCTTTGCAGCAGCTATGCATGGGCGCCGCCATAACTGATCATCAGTTTTGTTTCTTTTTATTATCTTCACTTCATCATTACCATAGCAGGCCAGGTTTTTGCCATATTAGATTCTATTGTGTTTTTTGCCCCAGCATCGGCCTTTGTCGAGGCGCGGCAATGCCCGTTTCAGTGGCTCGGAATCTCGGCAAGACAAGAGAAGGTCACCCATGGCGGCTGTTATTGGCACGTGTGTAAAGCGTCTATACGCCTAGATTAAATGTCTTCTCAGTGACAACTAACCTTCATTCGCAGACTACAAAAGTTGAAAATATGGCGGCATGGTCTGGTCTTGGAAGGTACGGGCGGAAGTACAGCTACACTGAACGTTACTACACGAACTCAGTTAGGAAACTGCCATAGAAGACCGCTTTGAAATAGTGGCTCCGATCCGCACCCGAGAACCGACCTAGACGCGATCGCAACGCCGCCATATCTCCCGCAGCGGCCACTCCGGGAACTGCACGTCTGCACGCACCGGTCCAGTCGAGTCGCGCAAAAGCCGCTGGCGCCATCTTGGAGTGCCTATATAAAGACACTTTCACGTTTTGACTCGCCGCTAAAGGGCGGCGCTGTAATTGTATCTAGTTCGGTCTCGGCGGACCCGAGCGATCCGGATTTTAAGAGTTAGTTTCCCGATTCTGAGTGTTCTAGTAGCGTTGGCTATACCGCTTTTTTTTTTTATAATAAGAAATGTGGTAACTATTTTTCGCACGTCGGAATAAGCACCGATTAAAAGCTGCATCCTTCTTGTTCAAAAATAAAACTAGAATTATAACGGCGGAACATACTTTTTTTTAAGTATTATATTTCTACAGTTTATTTCACACGAAGTCTGACTGAAGCCAGTGAGCGGCGCCAAAAATGCATCGACGCGGAGCTCGTTGTCTGTGGTATATGCCAACACCGGCTAAGCCAATCACGCATAAACAAAGAAGTGCAGAATCATGCCGTATTCACTGTGCGTGATTGGTTTAGCCGCATGATAGCATGGAGCCACAAAGACGACGAGCGCCGTGATGATGCACTTTTTCGGTGCTGCTTGATTGGCTCCGTCAAACAGAAGCGGCGGATGTGGTCGGACTTTAACTAAAACGGAGGCGAAGCGACCAGGTTTTCCGAGTGCGAGGGTCCTGGTCGAGCACGAATGTCGATTCTTCTCTCGTGTAAACTATTCCACAATGGAACTGCCTTTGGATTCCACAATGGAATTGTCTCTCTGTTTGTCCGATCGATTACTCTAGCTAGCAGACTTCTCTCGTTCTGGTGGTTGTTGTTGCTGTTGTTTTCGCCGTCAACAATGATGAATTGATGTCTCAATGAAAGGACCTGATTTCCCGCTTGGTTATCCTCCCGTCCGACTTAACCAAAATAAAGAGCACGACCGAGCTAACAGGCTCGAGCAAACGCCGGTTCCTATTGTTGTTGTTCTTCTTGTTGTTATGTCGGTTCACCTTTTTTTTTTTTTTTTTTTAATAGGCAGCTTGGAGGCTTTGCTTCAAACAACTAACATATCTTAGAATCTGCCTATGTATACCACAAATGCACGTGCCAGAATTTGGTATTTGGCACTAACTTTTATTTTTAAAAAAATAAAAAAAGCACAAAAAATCTTCGACCTTGTGTTCGCACTATCTGTTAAGCAAAGTCTACTTCCTCCGATAGAAATCCTCCGACATTAATCTTCCTAAATGAGGTGTCATTTTCCGTCGTAATTCGATTACCGGGGTGACAGATATCGCCACTCAATTCTCGAAAAACAAAAAGATGACGGGTTCTTATCGCAAAGAGAAGAGAAAATGGAAACGTGCGTCAACATCGCTAGCCACAGTCACTCCGGTTTCCGCCCAACGTGATCAAATAGAGAATTTGTTATGTAGATGGCAAGGATCCGGTGTTCCCTTGTTTGGTAAAAAAGCGATGGCTTCAGACTGCCAAGGTCACGTACCTAATATGAGTTGGCCTCGTCTTCCGTCCGTCCTTTAGGCGAGTGGGAATATGGTCCATATGGTTTAGCCGGTTTAGAAGTTTAGACGAGTGGCAATATGGGCAAGGTTTGGCCGGTGAAAGTGAACGCATAAAAACAAAGAGCGCCATGACAGTTTACTTTCTGCGGTACTTGAGCGGCTCCAGCGAACTATATAACATTGTCTGCGACAGGGACTTAATGTAAAACGGAGTATAGTTTCATCATAATGTCCCAAAAGCATTACATAACGGTGTATTTCAAGTAATAAGAAGTAATAAAACCTTTAAAAAAAAACATTAAACAGATTAAGGGTACCCGATCTTGGTTTTTTTTGTTGCGCTGTGATAAGCACGTTTCTTTGCTGGCACACTGCTGGGTACCGAATAATACTAGCGATAAGCGTAGCCAACTTTATAAAAATATACTTTAGCTGAAATGACTCTATTGAACATAAACCACAACACGTTCGTACTTGCTCACAGGTAGCATGAAGGAATTGGGACGGAAACTCAAAAATTACAGTTTTCTACCTCGCTTTTTAATAATACATGAATTCGTGTGTCGCTATATTCTGCGCTCTTAAAAAAGTACTTCTAGACGGGCAGTCATTGCGTCACTTAATAAACTGACCCTTCGTTACCACCTACTAAGCAACAAACAGCGGAAATGCTGTACATAGGAAAGAATATGACAACTACTTCCGCATAACAGCTAAAGGTTGAGGCGTCTAAATGTGCAGTGTTATTATTAAAATATTTGGCACACTTTGTAGTCTGGACAGGTAGCAGGGGGTGGAGAGCATCCAGGCGTTGTAAAGAGCTCCAAATCTATACTCGGTCCACATATGCATCCGTAAACACGCGACTGACAAAACTCCCTTGTCAGAGTTTTATCGTTGAAAATTATGGGTTTCACGAGGCCCACTTATGCTATTTTGAGTGAGACAATTGAAAACTCTCACCTACGCACCCACTTCCCTGTCGCCAGACACAACACACTCCAAGGACATTTCTCCACTTCCATTATACAACAAAATGCTAGTGAAAACGGGAAACAAAGGCCGAGATGAATCCACATTATTATTACTCGCTCTTACCCCCTCTGTCACCATTAAACAAAACACTTACGACATTCGCAAGCAAGCGCAGAGGAACTTGCCGAGATTAGCTGACTCCGTTAGAGAAGGAAAAAAGCAGCGAGCCTAAAGACACCAGAAACAAATGAAATTGCTTAAGGACGCGCAACTCTTGGTTTCATCCGTTTGCAAACGCCGATCCTCTTCCGTTCCTTCGTGCCAGACTCTCGGCGCCTTTTTTTTACCTTTCCCATGACGTGGCCCGCGACCTCGTGGCTGCGTGAACATGCAACGCGAGCAGAAAAGCATCTGACATGATTGCGCAAGAAAAGATGGAAAGAACATCGGATGTGCCTCTCCTCCTTGTGATCTTTCGCGCGTACTGCGGTTCCCGGCCTATAAAAACACGCCACTCCGGTGGGGTTGAGCACATCTACTCGTGTTGAAGCAGTCGAGATAATTCCTATCACGATGAAGTCGCTTCTGGTTTGTCTTGTCCTCGCCGTCGTGGTCCTCGTGGCATCTGGTCATCATGTAGAGCTGTGCAGTAAGTACGACTGATTCCATACGACTTTCAGAACGAATCGAACTCTGTTTATATACAGTCTAGTTAGGGGTAATTTTTATATATATTTTTTTTTATGCGTTTATGGATTTTTTGCGTTTTTATGGATTCAAAAACTGGCTCTGCTATAAATAAAACGCTGCCAAGCTTGCTCTTTTGGTAATAACAATTAGTTGTTTTTTTCTCTTGATATTTATAGTTTGTATCACATAAGATTCGTCTGGTTTACAGAAAGTTTCTTTACGCGCACTTGAACCTGAAGTAAACTTACGCGTTATCAATTCAACATACAATAATAATTCATTGACTGAAATTTGTTTTAGGGAGGCACAATATAAGAAAACGTACAGGAGGTGGCAGTGAAAACATGACATTTGTAACGTATTTTGAACCTCATATATGCACGCAAACGAAGACCACGTTGGTTGCGTCGCGCAGTTGACCAAACCAGAAGCAGAACTTCAATACATCGTTTACTGCTAATTCTACTTTCTTAGCCCAAACGAAATAACACTCATTTATTTACAAGAGAGAAAAAAAAAACTAGGACAGACATAAAACAAATGTGATAGCTATAAAGTTCATTATGCATTGTTATAAGTTTGCATATTTGCTACATTTGCGTCCTTGTTACTTTGTTCCGTGACGTCCCCCTGCGCCTTTACGCCTAATCGGCCTTGTTCTAAATTAAGAATAGAGTGTTTAACCTGACTGTAAGCACGTATAAAATGATTTGAGGGCGTTTTTGGCGAATAAAATACTTTATGTTGTCATATTGTGAATTCAGAATACTGAGAAAACAAAGCGAGATGTGAACGAGAATGTGTGCCAGACCTTTTGTAGGTCGCAAAAAGAACCGGCTTTTGTATAATTTCCTTCTTGCAAGCTTGGCAAAATGTTAACGTTTTCGCTTCAAAGCCCATTGTATGTTAAGTTTGGCAAGGGGTGTGCCTAACCCACTCAAAACATTACATTTAACCAAAATATTACTTGCACAAAAAATATAAAAGAACATTCGTTGGCACTTGTTACTCATTTCTAATAAAAGTAAAAGTGTGAAGATAGCGGGTGTAATACAGCTGATTTAATATGGTATGTTCCATTCTTGCAGAAAAGAACGATGCTGAGCTGAAAGAGGCGTTAACCTGCATTACGTCGAAACTTCCGGCAGCTGTAAGTAATCTGTTTTGCATGTTGCGCATCTGTCTGAACGGCGTCTTAGCCTAGTGTAAACCCTACGATACAATTTCATGTGTCCAATCGCATATGAGTAGATCACATAAAAACTTGTATACGCCTTTTATATATTTATATAACTTCGGGTATGTTTCTTAGACAAATCGTATATAATTATTTTTTCACTAAGGTTGCGGGCAATTCTGAATGTTAAAAACATTCTGGGATCACGAATTTAGTCAGAACGTGAAATAAGTCTGGCTTACTTATTCGCCTGATTTGTTTTTCTTTTCTTTCTGTTACTTAAGTGTTTAACACCTTTTTCGATGCGGTTTTATTATCTATTACTGTGCTGAAAATAACCCCCAGCAACGTACAAACGAACTAAAAAAAAGTCACTAATTCATAATTCAGGCATCCTTTGCAAAAATATAAAAAAGAGAAAAGGGCCCAGTGAAAAACGTTTCAGATATTGGACACACCCTAGCTGCCAGCATTTCTAAAGATTGCCATATCTTCGCTATCCTGCATAAGCGTCTAGAGATCGTAATGAAGCCAGTTGACGCCACTCTCTCAAGATATATATCTGTATACTGCAGACACGTTTCAGGGAAGTTCTGGGGAAGTCTAATCTAACACCTTATATATTTTGATATATTTAGGCTCTAGTAATAGCAATTTGTGAATAATATTAAATATTATTCGGAAACACTTTGGAGCTTTTCTACGTTTTTTTTAGAAGATTTTTACTACAACAAGATATTGACAGGCGTTGGTTATATGGTGATGGGTAATAAGAAATTGTATGATCATGTTACAGCTTAACACGAAGTTCAACCAAGTCGAAAAGCAGTTGGGTTGCAATGACAAGTCCTGCGTCTTCGAGAAGCTGTGCAAAGAGGGTGACCTGGTAAGTATAGCGGAACATTTTTTTTATTGAGTGTAAATTTGCACATCTTCACAATATTCTACAATGGGTTGTTATGTATTCGCAACAAATCACGTTATTAGCCTTATTCGACAATATTTTAAATTTGAGACAATCTGATTATCTGAAGAGTGATGACAGTTCTCAGATGCCCTCTGAACATGCAGTTATAAATCAACCTGCAAAGTTATTACTTACAAATCTAAAAGACATATTAAATTATTATTGTTCGTGTAGTTCTAATTTGTTTTAAGAGTTTTTTTTTTCGATTATGTATCCTATTTGACTCAGTTTGTTATCTTTTTGCAGGATGAAGCCCTGAAGAAGCATTTTACGGTAAGCATGTGATACTGTGGTCGTCGATATTGTAAAATCAATAGGGTAGGATTATTTTAAAAAACGTTCACACCCGGACCTTATACCAAAACAGGGTAGACAGTAAAAATTCAAAAACAATTTTTTTATCATGATTTAGATCGTGATATAATTCAGAACATTTTTGCTACGATGATTTAAATCAGATCTTTCTCACCAAAATAGGCCGAAAATGTATTATATTTATCATTTCTCTATCATTTGATGCCTTCTACGTGCATTTGTGTAGTGAAATCCAGGAATTATCAAGCAAGAAAGATTGATATCAGGCTGAACACGAGCAGAAACCAGTGCTCTTCTGTGCAAATTAAAGCATGGAGTTTTCTTTCAACCTTTCGCTTCATTCGTCAGCTACGTAACGTCATATCGCAAGCAAATCAGAACGCAAAAATAAGAAACAAAAACTAAAAAAGCAATACGCCTTATGGCAAGCAAATCGAAAAGCAAAAGAAAAACAAACAAAAAATTTTTTAATTAAGAAAAAGCATGCTGTTCTTGTTTTGGTATGGCGGAGGTTACATCGATAATTTTTACACTTTACTTTCAGTTAACACTACCGTATTTTCCGAACTATAGTCCTTCACCCGGTGCATAGTCCGCACGCCGTGCATAATCCGTACCTAGTGCCTAGTCCAAACAAAACTTTTCATACACAGCACAACTTGACAAATCCCGGTTGTATTAGCGAACAGAGAAGAATGAATCATACATAAATCAACATTAATATATGCAGCTATTCATAAAATCATTCAAATCTTGTCACAGTGAACGATCTAAAAAAAGAAACAAATCCATGTATACTGCGTACCTGTAGATAGTCCGCATCAGGTCATATTTCAACTTTAAACATGTATAGTCCGCGGATGATACACCAAAAACACGGTAATTTTTTTCTTTTTTTTCATTGTTATTGAAGATTGGATTGGAAGATTGGAAGATTGCAATCAATCTGCTATGCTTAGAAATACATGTAGTGATAAAAAGTTACAATTTTCAAGCTACGGTGATCTAAATCAAATTAATCTGATTTAATTTAAATAAGTATAAACAACTTTATTTGTTGTTTTTTTTCAAGAAATCATGATATTCCTTTATCCTGCACCAAAACTTGATATATTTGGTACTCCTATATTGTTCTCGAAACTCTACGTACACAGACCCAGTTTTTATTGTGAAAAACAGTGTTTCCGAATCCTTCTTACAACACTGAAAAACCTCAAAAAGATTTTAATAGTCCCTGATGCTGCTGTTTTAGTATGACTCAGCAAATACATCAAATTCCGTTTCCAAGCCTCCCGTTTAGAGCTTTTTTTTTTTTTGTATGTTATTCATGGAATTAAACGATGGCACAGCTTTGGCGGTTCCGGTTTCTACAACGCAAGCTATTAATCATGTAAACGATGCGTCTTGGACAAAAAGAGCCCCAAGCTTTAAATTCTTGTAAACCACTAATGCTCCCGCCAAAAGCGAACAAGACATATCTTGGACAGGTATTCGAGTAGTTCCCCTTGATAAGGTCTGGGCCTTCGGTGGATGGTAGTCAAAATCTTCAAAGAAGGCTTGAATGAAAGCGCCGTAATCTTATTCACGATTTCTTCCATTTTGCAGGCGGCCGAAGTCCAGACGCTGCACACCACGGCTACCGACTGCGATCACTCTCACGGACATGAACACTCCCACGGACACGAACACGGACACGGACACCACTAAGACCAGGGACGTGGGCAGGGCTCACCTGAAGAACTGTCCTGTCTTACTGCAAAACGCGTGTGAAGTTCGCCGAGTATCAGCGCTTGACTCGAGGCTCCAAAATATACTGGGCATTGTGCAACAAATAAATAAACCAGCGCTGAACGTATAGAAGCATATGTCTTGTCCGGTGAACTTGCAATTTACTGCATGGGAAACGCACTTACTCCAGCAGGCTTCTTCTTTCTTTTCTCTCCTTCACTTTTTTTTCCTTCGACGGATAGGGTTTGGTTGAACTTTAAAAGCCGCGAGTGCTTGGACTCCGTAAACTATTCTAAACATTTGCCAATAAAACAATGAGAAAAGAGAGGCGCTCTCAAATTGGTAGCACTTGTGCAGCTACGGAAAATCGGCTACCGGTGCCCAGTGTCCATTTGCAAAGTGAAAATTGAGTAGCCCGTAACTCCCACCCACGTGACTGTTTTATTACTCAAAACTAGAATATTGTATTCCAGGTTTTGTTTGATATCTAAAAGAATATAGCTGATTTGTGGTTAAGTTCACTTTTACAGCTCACTACGAACACATGCCTTGCCTGCCATTCTAAGGACGGGGGGGGGGGGGGGGGGGGGGGGGGGCAAGTGCCCCTCTTGCCCCCCCCCCTCCCCCCCCCCCGGTTGGTACGCCCATGAATGCAACAGATGCGGATAGGGTGCGGATATTTGCGGTTCCAGATCTACATTTTTGCCGATGCGAGCACGTGTGCGATCGCAGATTGTAGAGTGAATAAGTTAGTGATACTAAGGAGTTCATCATAGAGTCCACTGCAGGAGCAAACTGCTGCCCTAGATAAAAGGTGCCAATGGGGAAAAAGATTGTTCTTTAAGTCAAAAAAGATTTGATTCTCAACAAAGATCGCTTTAGAACATTGTACATATCGCCACATGGTAACTAAAAATAATAAAGAATGCAGGAGCATCAGTCGTCCTGGAAAAGTGTGTTCTTGTTTGGCAAGGAAAAGACGGAAAACGTTCTTTGGGAAAAAAAGAAAAAAATTCCGCACAAGTCCGAGAAAGTAGAGGCCTGCAAGTGACTGCTTCGCGAATACAAGTAGATCCAGGAGACTGAATTCGATCCTCTGGAGTGATGGAACTTGCTGCAGCACGAGTTCCCGCGCCTCATTCTTGTAGGGCAGTCCATGCACTCCATCCCAGCATCAAGTGTATCACTGCAGAGAAACTTCTCATTAGCGGGCATTAATTTAAGAGAGGCGAACCAGTCTGAATTCGTCCATCTTGACGATATTATTTTTCTTCGACACAGCAACCTCGACAAATGAAACGTTGCGTGTTTGAGCGTTTTCTTTTTCTCGACAGTTAACACTGAGTTGTTTTTAAGTATGTGGTTTCAAGCATGAAGTTGAGGGCTCGTGTTTAAAACTGAAACCGATAGAAAGTGTTGCAATTACTGAATAGTGCGATAGTTTGTTAGTGGTGTACTGGCGCCTTACCTCATCCCGAGTACTTTGCTGCGGCGAGTGAGCAAGCACCTTTCCTCCCCACCTTTTTATTGTTTGGTCTAAATAAAACGACACATTGTTATTATTATGTCATTTGTTAATGTTCATGTTTATAAAATATTCGTCTGCTTGAACTGAGTTTTACAAAGCAAAAAAGAAAATAAATATTAAAATTACTTTACTTTTAAGCGTATATCAGCGTCAACAGCATCCGCGCATCAGCGTCTCGGACTACCAAGACGATCTCATAACTACGATCATCATTCCAGCGATGCGAAGAGGCTCAAATGACGAAAGTTCCCTCTTTCGTCACTTGAGCCTCTAACCAATCAGACAAATTATAGACCAATTTCACGACTTCGCACGAGTGTCGAGTCATCAAAGCGCTTCCAGTTTAAACTCTGTTTTGACCCTTTTAAAAGTAGCGAATGTTTTGTGACTAGTGTCATATTTTACCGGGGCCTATCAACAGAGTACTCCTATTTTATAAATACATTTTGCGAATATATATATACAGGGTGCTTTTTTTTTTTTTTTAAGGGGCCCTTCGGAGTTTTCTGCGATCGTCTGTTTGTATTCTTATATTGCGTAGTAGGTGCAAGTTAATATGTATACAAAGTTTTAGATTACAAAACCGTTTATTAAGCAGATGGCAGAAGAAATATATCGGGACTATTTTCTCTTGGAAGACAATCCCCCATTCCCTGCCCATCGCTAAAACTTGACCAATGGAAATGCTGCGTCCCGCGGTGAATGCGAACGTTATTATTGCAACACTTTTTAAGCTTGTTGTACATTAGAGTTTGAGAAAAACGTAAACTGATTGTGGTGCGGGAAACACAGTCCGCAATTATCGCTCCAAAACCAGCGAACCATGTTTTCTCCCCGCAAGCTTGTTGCTAGGGGGTGATGCGTCGGCGCATCGGCCCGTCTGCTTCCCGGGGCGTCTGCAGGCGTGCGTTTGCGGGACACATGTTCCTTCTTCCCGTGGATCCCGACTCCGAAGCCAGCTTTGCGATCCTTCCACGTCAACGAGTCAAACTTTTCCTTGTCATCTGTGGAATGCGACAGCGTATTGCAGTAGCAGCGCGACGGTGCGGTGCGACGAACGACGACTGCCGAGCACAAAGTCCGGGTTCGTTGACGACGGTCCGCGCGTGTTCGAGAGATTCCTCCGCGGGTCGGCGGTCGGCGGCGTTGGTGACGCGCAGTGACGCCGGGATCCTTCGCTTGCTATTGGCTGACGCGTAAAGAGATGCCCCTCCCGTTTTCCGGGGTCATCTCAGAAAGGGGGGCGTGCCGGGGACTTTGATAGCAATTTTAGTAGGGAAATCCGCCGCGCATGACCGTAATTTTATGATTTTTAGGATCCTTAGGGCCTGCAGATTGAGTTACCGCCATAAATAGACCATCGCAGAACGCTCCGGAGGGTCCTTTTAAGCTGAACAAATTTGTTTCAAAAAAGCCGTGAAAGTTACACTTATGCCGCTTGTGGAGATGAGTTATATGGCCAGGGAGACATATTATAGGGGGTTAATCGTAACGATCAATCGTCTAATTAATTAAAATTCGTTAATTAACTTTTTAATTAATGAAAATAGACATATGGTCCGAATTAGAAACTTGCTCAGCGTCATCGAAAACCACTATATCAGTAATTTTCATAAAGACTTTGGGCACGTGAGGAGCGTAGTAGTGCACTAAAGTTACCGCTCGTGGAGCAGGTACAAGGCTGGGGCTAGATAAGAGACGGAAAAATCGCGCGGGTGGCCTTATCGAAACCGCTAGCTTTGTACCTGCTCCACGAGTGGTAACTTTAGTGCACTACTACGCTTCTCACGCGTTCAAAGTCTTTCTGAAAATGACTGATTTAGTGGTTTTCGATGACGCTGAGCAAGTTTCTAATTGTAACCATATCTATTTTAATTAATTAAAAAGTTAATTAACAAATTTTAAATAATTAGGCGACTGATCGTTACAATTAGCCCCCTATAATATGTCCCCCTTGCCGCATAACTCACCTCTACAAGCGGCATAAGTGTAACTTTCACGGCTTTTTTTAAACAAACCTGTTAAGTTTTAAAAAAAAAAACACCCTGTGTGTATATATATATACATAAAGTAGTACTTTTTTTCAGACTTTGCAAATACTTTGATTGTCTTACTTAAATCCATTCCGCAAATGAAGATGCTTGCTCGATATCAATTGAATCGTATGTTGGTCGACGCGTTTTTCTCTACATGGCAACAATTTAGATAAATAAAAAAAAATTATCTCGGACTGCTACGGTCCTGTCGGGGTCCTCCAAAAATTCTGCTGTTTTTGTGTGTGTGTGTGTGTGTGTGTGTGTGTGTGTGTGTGTGTGTGTGTGTGTGTGTGTGTGTGTGTGCGTGCGTTTTAGTTATTTATTTTTGATTAGAGAGTCAACGCATCAATCCTGTGTCGCCTTTTTACAGAAATTTTCGTACTGTATTTCGAAATAGTCCCGAAGCGAAACGAGCATTTAATAACTGCCATTGGTACGGGTGTAGCTACCGATACGGTGTCGCGGTTCTGGCGAGAAGCTCCTGAAACGCTACTTCAGCCCGGCTCTTCGTCGCTTTGAGGATTTGCACTAGGCGATGCATGCCCGACGGAATCTGGGCCGGCTTGCCAGAAGCAGTGTCTTAGTTGAGACTGCTCAAAGAAAGCGCTGCCAAGGCTCGGGCGCGCGAGCGTCTGAGACTCGGCTGAAGCTCGAGCGCTAGCCTTGACAGCGCTTTCTTCGAGCAGTCTCAACTGAGACTTTGCTTCGAGCAAGCCGGCCCTGGTGTCCTTTCAGCACACTGCCCGCCGCGACCCGAGGCTGCTCACGTCGTTTGCTTCAGAGCGTATTACGCCCGATAGGACTCTGGGCGCTGCGTGATTCCATACGTTATGATCGTTGATAATTATCGTTGTTGTTGTTTTTGTTAGTCTAGCATCGGGACGATCCGTTTCTAAAGGAAGAGGGGCGTAAATTCCATTTTTGTTTGATACAGTGAGGCGTCGAAATGCACCTATTTACCTTTACAGATACGCAACAGATATCGCTTGTTTATGCCTGAAAACGGAGCCGTGTGTAGACAGCAGTCAGCTCTTGTATAGTCTCCAATATACATAAGGGTCTCTTATACAATCGTATTCAAACGAATTATAATGAGTCTTTGTTACAGCAACAGTTAAAAGTTGGGGTTGGAATGAATTAAGCTATTTTGAAAAGGACCATTAAAACCTTCCCACCCGAGGTCCGGTCTCCCTGGCAACGCACACTATACAATTGAAGGTCATTTCTCCAATTTCACAATGACTCGAAGCCAGGGGAAAAGAAAAAAAAAAAGAGAGCTCAACCTGTTTTGTTATATAACTCGAACTAACTACCTCTGCCACCATTAAATAAACGCTTACGAAATTCGCAAGCTTGGGTAGAAAGTGACGTTTGTCGAGATTAGTTTGTCTTTGTGTGCAGAAAAAAAAGGAAAAAGCAAGAAAAAAATGCTTGCCTAAAAAGGCACGTTTCTTGGATTCTTCCTCGTATAAATATCCTCTTGTATACCGTCGTCTCAGAATCTCGGCGTGCTATTTCCTTTACCTTATTCGTGACGTGGTGGACGTCCTCGCGATAGCGTAAAC